CATGAAAAATTGTCGGATCCCATAGTGCTACTCTAGAAGTTCAAGAATCTAGAGCACATGCGATGATGGGCGGGTTTAGGGACTTTTATGGAGTGTGACAGCTCTAGACCTACTCGTGAAAAGTTTCACGAGTATAGAGTAGTGCAGCGAGACCCAATGTTTTTGCTTGTTCTTGCTGCCAGATTCACACAGCGAGTGCACTGACAGGCACAGGTAGAAAAGCCGCAGGCCAAAGAAAAAAGGGAAAAAAAAAAAAAAAAAAAAAAAAAAAAAACACAATGTTTCTCAACATGGTTGTTGCCAGATGTATACAACAAATGCACCAAACGGTTGCACAGATGTTCCAAAGTGTGAATGCAGCATGTCCCAAAGGACGGCCTTCTAAAAAATAATACAAAATTAAATTAAATTTAAAAAAAAAGGACGGCCTTGAATGTTCTTTTCCATTTTTTTTAAAATAAAAGTTGTCTTCTCCTCACGAAGGAGCAACTATATATGTTTTTCTCTGGATTCTTACTTCAGGCAGATGCATTTGCCCACTACCAACTGCACGTGATGATGGGCCTCGCTCCACTACTCTTGAGGTGCACAAAGGACAAAAAATATGGCAATGTATCTTGCCATGTTCTAGCGGTATATTCATTCTCATTTTGCATATTTGGTGAGCAGTGGAGCGAGGCCCGATCTCACATCCACTCCAGAGATCCGACGGGCACTATGACGAAGTTACATCCACACTCCACCAGATCCGACAGACAGATCGGACACAGACAGAAGAAAACAATCCCGCAAACAAAGTTGAAAGTCACTGCATAGAATCAAAACCAAATTGAGGGTCTCTGTATTCCCCCTTCGATACACTAGAAAGGAGGGTCTCTGGCGGATGACTTGACGCTGACCTGTGTGAATACCCCAGGAGTGTCAAAGGCATTGAGGGATGTTTTAGATGAGTATTGCCTATTATGTCGATTAATTGGGATAAATCTGTCTTCTTCCTGCCGCCCCAATTTGACCTTTGCGTTAATTGGGGTTTGAGACAAGTCCCAGCTTACACGTCGGATAGATTCCTAGGGGTGCAGGTTTCATTGTCAGACTGTTCCAATACGCAGGACACAATAATGACAGAGAAAGTAGTGGCACTCATCTCAGGATGGGTGCGTAATCACCCGCTATCCCTGTTTGGCAGGGCGATGGTGTTGTCCTCGACAGCCTTTTCAATTTTGTGGTTTCCTATGAAGGTCCATCTCCTAAGTGAGGAGGCATATAGGGCTATAAAAAGAACGACAACCAGATATCTTTAGAAGCCACAGACACAGGCACAGGAGGAGCAGGGCTTCATAACAAAGGTAGCATGGGAAACTGTTGCCTGCTCAAGAGACGAAGGAGGACTTGGAATTTTGGATCCCCTCCTCCAAAATGTGGCCCTGTTGGCTAAATGGCCAATATGGGCTATGTTTGATCAGGACGAGAAGGAGTGGGTGGCCCTGGCAGAGTATATTGTACAGGAGTGAAACATCAGGGAAGGACCGCACGTTTGGCTATGTTTCCTGATCAAGTCCTATTGTTTGAGAAAACCAAAGTCCAGAGTCTGGAGTAACATCCTACAGGCGTGGAACAGAGTTAGGCCAGTACAACTTGGGGAGACATCTTCGAAAGGAGAAATCTTAAATCAGATTTTTTGGGAAAACGTCTACATAAAGTACCAAGGATCTGAGATCCTTGCGGACGGTAGCACATACTCCTTTGGGAGAAACTGGGTGGAGCATGGAGTTCTACAGTTAAAGGACATTTGGGACCCTCAGATTGAGGATTGGATTCCAGGGTCAAGACTCAGAAGCATATTGCCAAGAATTCATAAAGTCGACAAGAACTATCAAATAGTAAAGGATTCGATTCCTCGACATTGGCTCCATGCTATAAGAAAGGAATCTGAGTTCAACCCGAGAGCATAGTTAAAAGACCCAGAACAACAAGATACTTACCTAAAAGTGGTGGGTCCGGACCTGGCTGCAGGGACAAAAGTTACTAAATGGAAGTTGAGAGGGAGAGTAGGTGGTTTAGCTCTGAGGTATGAGGAGGACTCAATCGTTGATAACACCCGGGATCTGGAAGAGGTCAGGGTGTGGGAGAAAGAGGGTACTAGAAGACCTAAGTGCTCTCTGATTATCCATAAGAGGGTGAGAAAGTCGGTGGAACCGGTTGGGTATGGGTGGAAGATAGAAAGTACTCCCTCCCAATCCTTTCCAATAATAAATTATAGACCCAAGATAGGAGTCCTGCTTCAGAAGCAGAGGGTCGTTAAGAAGCCTATTGTTACAGCTGAGAGGAGATTAGCTTTGTGTCAGAATGGGAGAATACAAGGAACAAATATTTTCATGCTATGGAAGGCCTTAAAGAAAATCCCTTCTCAAAAACAAGCAGCACTCCAGTGGTTGCAATCCCTTAATATCACCGCTTCTGCAATATGGTTGAATACTAAAGGGATAAACATCTCTACTTCCTGCACCAGGTGTGGATGGGGATGGGAAAGTGCATCCCACATATGGTTGTTTTGCCCACTCTCCAGGGAGATCTGGGAGTGGTGGAAGGAAAAATGGAAAGGTTGTCCATGCTTTTCAGGGGAATCGGGGGAAGAGTTTATCCTACATGCCAAATGGTCTGGGACAGGGGATTTTAGAAGCGGAGCGGGGTATGTGGCCTTAATCTGTAGAGGGATCATCTTTGAGGCAATCTGGACAACCAGAAATGCCAAAGTCTTCCGATCATAATCGATAACAGTGCAACATTTGGTCAACCAGATAAGGACAGCGGTCAGATTAGTGATAAGAGTTGATTGAAAAACAAAAGGTCAGATCTGGTTCTCCAAGACATGGGCTAAAGGTTCATCCTTTGCTTTAATGTCGTCAGAAGGAAATATGTAGTTTGCTCGTTGGTTGCTACTGGACTTGTGGGGTAGGGGCGAGGTCGTCTGCCCTGTAAAAGAGTGAATTTGAGTTTATTTGGCAGGTCGTTTTAGACCTGTGAGCCCAACTGAAAGGTTTGTATAGGGATTGAAAACCCGGATACTCTTCCTCCGGGAGTTCAAAGTTATTTGAGGAAAGTATGCTGGGCCTACAAAGGTTAAAGAAAGGAAGTACTGTGGGGTCGAAGGGCATTAAACGACTTAGTTAAGACTTCACAGGTTGCTGTTTTGATCATGAGCCAGGTTTCTTGGATGACTCACATTTTGCCTTGAGCTTCACCGTTTACTTTTTGAAAAGTTTCTGGTCTGGGGACGCTGGACCCAGTTTCCAGCACGTAGTATTAAGATTTTGTGAGCAGCTATTTAGTTTGTTGTGCTGAGCACGTAAGCTAAACTGGCTGAGGCTGCTAGGATAACTCCTGTCTCTTATACACATCTAGATGTGTATAAGAGACAGGTGTGTGTGTGTGTGTACCGCCATGAAGCAGGATCTGCTGCAGGAGGTGAATGTGGAGGAGACGACGAAAACATGATAACCCACCGTTGTAGTCTTTCTAGCCTCAGTGTAAGCGTGATGATGCTCTTGCCTGCACTCCCCCGACGCTGAGGGATATCGGCATCCGAGGCAGAAGGATGAAGTGAAGAAGAAGGTTGATGTGGAGGAGATGAAGTGGGAGTGAAGAAGCCCATAGAGAAAAAACCATCGAGAGGGAGGAGAAAAATGAGGACGAAGGACCATGGCAAGACAAATCAGAAAGCAAAACGGGAATCAATAAAGCGAAAGATAAACGAGATCATCATAGCCTCCTCCTCGCCTTTCTTCACGTCAGCATCCTCCTCTGCCTACCCCCCTCTCGTCGTCATCATCATCTTTTCATCTCTCCTCTTCCCCCTCACCCTCCTCTCCCTCCTCTCCCTCCTCTCCCTCCTCTTCGTCCTCCCATCTTATCTTCGAATCATCACAGCCTCTACATTCCCCTTCCTTTCCCTTGCACTCCTGGGGTTAGGAGGATTTTTTTTATTTTTTTTTTAAGTCATCTATATTCTTCTCACAATCTATTTCATCTTTCTTGGTAGTACGCATCTATCTCATCCTCTCCATGGTTTCCACATGAGACTGGACATTCCATATGCAGAGGCTGAACATATAGAACTGTATATCATGTCCAGTTCATTATGTTCAGCCTCTGCATATAGAAGTGGACATATGCAGAGGCTGACGTGGAAGAGGAGGACGACAACAGAAGAAACACGAGGAGGAGAGGAAGACATTGCATTGAAGAGAACGGTAGGCAAATCGGAATTAATAAAAAGGAGCAGAAGGAGCATGGTCAAGCGAATAGGAGAGGCAAATCGGAATTAATTTAAAAAAAAAAAATGATGAAACCACCACTGCCCCCTCTTGCGTGTCTTTTCCCATCCCGCTTCTTCCTGCCGTCAGCAACGTCATATTCCTACTCCTCCCCTCCTCCTCATCAGCTCACTCGCTGATAGATAACCCCAAGTAGTTCTCCGGTTGTGGTCTTCTTCTTCCTTATCCACCCCGCCTCCTCTCTCTCTCTCTCTCTCTCTCTCTCTCTCTCTCTCTCTCTCTCTCTCTCTCTCTCTCTCTCTCTCTCTCTCTCTCTCTCTCTTTTGTGTGTCTGTCTGTCTGTCTGTCTGTGACACACACACATCAAGAAAACTCTTGGCATTGGCATAAGCTGCTGCTCGTCTGGACTCAACCAACGATATTCTTTAGTGAGATACATAGTAATCGCAGTGTCGCACCCACGCAAGCAGGGGGGCGAAGTGAGGAGTGATGGGAGCTGAAGCAGCCGGAGCTAATATATATATAGATAGATAGATAGATATAAAGAGCTGCGCCTGGCGAGGAAAGGTCAGGCGCAGGGGGGTTGGCGGCCATGAGTAAAGCAGAGGTGAAAGGGGGTATTGAAACAGGATGTCGAAGTATGGCGTGTCCGAGGGCAAAGAAAGGAAAAGGAGGAGGAGGAGGAGGAGGAGGAGGAGGAGGAGAAAGGATAAAATGGAGGCTTACCTCCTTAGCGCGGACCTGTTCACCGCCCCTCTGACGAAAAAAAAAAAAAAAGACTTTTGGGGGATTCCAGGATCACTCTAGACCAGCACACTGCTCACGCTTCCAGCGGCCCTCTCTCTCTCTCTCTCTCTCTCTCTCTCTCTCTCTCTCTCTCTCTCTCTCTCTCTCTCTCTNTTTTTTGGCTGCGAGTGGGTCGTTTTTTGAAAGTCTGGCCATGCAACTGGAGGAAGAGAGTACTCCAATGTGACAGAAGAGAGTACTCCAAGGTGACAAACAGGCCGGTCTACGTTGGTTTGCATAAACATGGGCAAAGGCCGGGGGCATTAGTAGAGATTAAACATGGGAGACTACTCATGTCCTCGTGGTTGGATAGGTGAGTCAACTCCAATTAGAGGCTTACGCAGTAGGAACAAGTTGGACTAGGTATAGCAACTTGGGTACTCGGTTGCTGCTATGCTGTTTTTGGTTCGGTCGTGGTAGACACAAGGTAGAATGAGAGTGCCAATTCGAGAGGAACTTGGTTCCACCTGCCGGGTTAGGTCGAGGTGAGGTCGGGTTAGGCCTGGTTAGTACGTAGTCAATTAGGGGTTAGATTTAGTGGTAGGGCGTAGCAGGGACCAGTAGGGCGCAATAGGTTTTAGTAGGGATTAATTGGGTATAGTGGAGACTAAACTATTAGCGGAGAAGCAGATTAAGTTCGAATTTAGAAATGACTTGGTTACATCTGAGTAGGATGCAGTATTTCAAAAGGTTTGAGAATTCATGTTGTTTCAAGACATAAGTCAAACCGACTGATGCTGTCGGGAAAACTCTGGGTGGAATTGTGAGGTCCCCAGCGTCGGATTCAATGATGTTTGCAATAATGATTGAAGTGTTTGGGGGAGGGGGGGGGAAGTATGGCCGTGTTTTTTTCTTTTTTTTTAATGAGAGTATCATAAAAGAAACAAAACGGAACCCAGGCTCGACAAAACTCGGTGCGCAATGAAAATCAGGGTCGGCAAAAACAGGCTCGGAGGTAGTGGTGGTTGCCCGATTTGGAAAAACAGTGGTTGGACCCCTCACACCGCTTCCCCATTTCGGAACAGACAAGGTTGCGGCCGCCTGGATTTTGGGTCCTCCTCGACTTCTCCAGTCACATTGTGAGATTGCATTTCCTAGCAATATCTTCGTCCCAGGTTGTTTCCAAACAAGGAAGGGAATTTGCGGTAATCTCTCGAGGTTACTGCAAATTCCCAAACCCCGCAGCCCCTCAGGCCGCTGACAAATGGGGTCACGAATAAGTAATTTAAGGAAATGAGATCCTAGTGTGACTATCCCTGGGCACTATTTTTTCGGGATTTGGGGGATTATCTGGATTTGGTACCGCAGTGTGAGCGTGCCTTCAATTGGTTAGGCACGCAAGTGGCATTCAGGAGGTTGTGGCCTCAATCCCACTGATCACCTATGGCACTCTTGGTGCCAACCAACTGAGATAGTTGCCTACGTTCGGTAACGGTGTTGGAGCAGAAACCCTTACAATGGCATCTGCTCGGGGCTTTTAATGCCCGATGTTGTCCAGTATGTTGTCTCTGAAGAGGCCGCTGAAATGCGTGACCGTTGAAATATTAAGTCTAACCGCGCGGTTTAGGGTCTAACTTGAAGTAGCCAAAAGGAATGGTCGCGCCGGGTTTGCGGCCACGGCGCAGGAAATGTAGGACAAGTGAATTATTTTCCAATTATTATTATTTTAATAGGTATGTTTACGGGGTTTTTATCCCGCGCCAAGGGCCTAAAAGCCAACCGTTGTAGCTTACCAAACAGGGCATCCGTCCGCACCATCGATGGGCCGCTAGCCTTGTGAAAATGTGGGAAGCCGGGTCTGCTAGGCCACAGACGGGTGATGGGCACGACGAGGGGTAGAAGCGGGTGAGGCCTATCAAGCCACGGGCGACGGCCATTGGGAACAGAGCTCTTCAAATAAAAGAGTTGCTCTGTAGTAGGAGCTAGCCCAGTAGGTAACATGTTAGTCTGAAAGCGTCGCGGATATAGAGGTCGAAACTAGAATGCCCCACTGGGCTAGCTCCTTTTAGAGTAGCCTGTGGAGGGAAAGTAGGCGCGATCACTAAGATCATGCGGTTGAGATCAGTCGTGCCAAGATTGGCATGGCTCCTGTGCAAGGATGACATGCATAAATCGAGAAATGGCACAATTTTTTATTTTTTTTTTTTTTTTCAATTCTATCCAGAATCGAACTCACGTCTGTGTTTCAATGGCTCGTGGCATTGCGCCACGAGAGTGTAGAGTTCAGAGTGCCATTGGAAGGGGCAAATGACCAAAGTGGAAAAAAAAAAAACTACGAAAAAAAATAAAGCGCCAAGTACTGCTATTGGGGCTTGGACCTCCACACGGCAACTGGCACCACGAGGAAAAGAGGGGGGGGCAACATTCCACTAGTCACCACATGCACAACCGCCAAAATATATAGCGGTGTATTTTTCCACGTTCTTGCGGACGATTCATTCTCATTTTGTACAAAGGGTGAGTAGTGGGGCGAGGCTCCTAACTGTGCTAGTGGCTTACCCCTTCCCCGCTGCCTCGTGGATTCGAGTTTGGGTTTGTACCTCAATAATTCGAAGATACCAATGGGGGTGCCCACTTATTACTTCGCCTGTTGGCCTGTTTCAGACTCATGAACGCGCAGGCATGTCAAAGTGAGACGAGCTGTCATTATGGAAATATGGGAAAAATATTTTTTTTTTTGCTTCGGGCCTGTATTTTTGTGATTGTTGAAATGATTTTTTCACTTTGAATTGTTTTTGTAAGTATCTGGGAACCTCCCTGACATCCGTGATTTTTTTTTTGATTTTTATTTTATGTCAATTTAAATGAAAAATCACCAAAGTCGGGGTACTTTTGGTACCCCCCACCTTGACCATGGCGGGTTTTGAACTGGTGACTTATCACAAGTTGCTCCCCATTTGGCCTATACACCAAGTTGCCGTCCGCCAGAACGGGTGCCAAATGTAATCGCAGTTGTCGATGGCTGCTGAGGAATCAAACAAGTGCAGTTGGTTTCAAGTGCAGCTGCATGAATCTGGCCAATTCAGGTAGGCCCGTACGTTTCAGGTAAGGTTTATTTTTATTTTTTCTGTGGTGCTTACTCATTTTGACACTTGTCCAAACGAGGCGCAACCTCTGGCAAGGACTGCCAAAGGTAACTGTCTGCCTCTCGTTTTTTGAGGAAACCTGAAAATATATATATATATATATATATATATATATATATATATATATATATATATATATTTTGAAAATTGTTGGGTACAACTTTACAGGGGACGTATTTGCACCGGAAAAAATGTCCAGATACATCCAACTGTAGAGGCGTGTATCTTTTCAACTAATTGTCTAGAAAAATAAAAGGAAAACAATTTTATACATGTCAAAAATTTAGGTTTCTCGTGGAATTCGAGATACCTGAAAAAAAATAATAATAATAATAAAAAAAAGCAAGGCAGTTGAGGAAACTGCCCAACTAAGTGTGTGGTCGTCATGCGACCACAGTAAGCCCTTGATTTTTTTTTTAATTTTTTTTTTATCAAAGGTCCATTGTGACCCTGCGATTTTGCTAGAGGGCTAGAGTAACAACCAACACTCCTCCAGCCAATATAAAAGAGGCACTTGTCCCCCACTTGCCACACAAAGCATTCGTGCTGCTTGAATGTTGTCACACACTCTGACAGAAGTAGTGTCGCTGAGAGGGTTGTTGGAGGAGTTGTTGGTGATCTGTTACTGGAGGAAGTCTGCAAGTTTGGTTATCTGTTACTGGAGGAGGTCTGCAGAAAGGAGGTGGAGGGCAGCCATAGTTGAGGCTGTGTGCATTCTACCCCACCCTCAGGCTGGTGCTGGCCATGTGGGACGGTACCTAGGTCCACTCTGTTGGACTAGGGCTCTGTTCCAACTTGAGGGAACCGGAGTTCCGAATCTGGATTTTTTCAAGTGTCCATGATTTTATTAAATTAGTGGTATCCTTCGGTGACATCAACGATGGACGACAAGATTCACTCTCAGTGAGGTTATGCTACCGAAATTTCGGCTCGATGGCAACATTTTTTTTTGAAGGGAAGTGGTTTTTTTTTTTTTTTTTTCCGGCACGATGGTAGCAGGAGTTTCACTGGGGTTGTGCTGCTGGAATTGCGCCACAACGAGTGGGGTTGTGCTGCCCCTGTTTACAGCACGACAGCGACAACAATTTTCAACAAGGTTGTGCTGCTGGAATTATGACACGACGACAACGGTATTTTTCTAAGGAGGTGCTTGTCGTTTTTTTTTTACACAACGACGGTAATACTTTTAGTAGGGAAATGATATCGGATTGACGACAAGTGGTTGCTTTTTTTTGCGGGGACATGCTGCTGGAACGGTGCAAGGCCGTGGTGGTCATGCACAAGGGTTTTTGGCGCACCACACACGTTGATGACGTCGCTGAGAGGATTTCAGTGTAATTTTAGGGTCTTGAAACCGGGTGGACGAATGTGGCAGTTTATTCTTTTGGGACGTCGTGACACAACGTATCGATCAGGGGGTCTAGGAGAGGCGCATGCTAGCGGTGGAGTGATTGCAGAGAGCATTCGACGCATGCGGTTTACCGTCGAGGAAACTTCATTATTATTATTATTAGTAGTAGTAGTCGTAGTAGTAGTAGTAGTAGTAGTATGGGGTGAGATCGGTTTCTACAGTTGAGACTACTCGGTGCTGTGAACGGTAGTGCAAGACCCTTGAGGACCACTACAACCAACTCGGACCAAACGTGGGATACGTGCAACATTTTTTAGAGAATTCGATGTCTGCAGTTTTTGTTACATGCGTGCTTATTATTCTTTGAGATATGCGACGTGAACAATTTTTTTGATTAGGACCGTTCAGTGTGGGGGTTGATAGCGTGGGACTATCTGTGACCTTTGGGACCAGATGGGACTGACGTGGAATGAGGGATGTTTTTTCGGACGGGTGTGGTTTGTTGTTCCCGCACTTGGGTTGTCACGTGTGGGACGTGCGAGTTTGAGGTGGATTAGGACTACCTTTTTCAC